AAAGTCTTCTGTGACTCTGGGAAATGCGTTGACGGTAGTAACTCTTAATGTAACTGTTTCACTAGTAGTGAAGTTACCATCAGGCTTTTTAAGAAGCCCGTTCTAATAAGGTTTAACTTTTGTCAGCATTTTGTGTAGTCTTGCACTGCGAGGCAAAGACTCAACTTCCTCGCATAGCTTCCTCCACCACGCTTTCTTGGCTTTCCTATTTTTTATTATGTTCAATTAGGGTTGCACTATAAATATCCCACTCTTTTGTTTTTGGCCCTATCGAATAGTTTCCTTTTTCCTAAGTTCCTTCAGATTAGTGTTCCACCAAAGAATTTTTCATGTCTTTCATGTCTTGGTTTTTACGGGACAGCTGCTCCCGAAAGCTTCTCGGATACCTATGGTTACAGACTCCGTCGCTAACTCCAGACCTTCGATCATTTTGATGCTTTTAGAAAACGTTTTCAAATTCCTCCTTAGCCTATATAGATATCCCAGGTCGCTTTTGGATCCCGAAAAGCAACAGTTTCATATGTTGGCGATACTCCAATTACAAACTTAATGTGCTTGTGATCAAACATCGAGTTTTTGCTACTAATATGCCAGTTAGTTATCCGCCTGGATACTTTATTAGTAGCAAATGTTATATCTTATAATTTTGGCCTGGCACGGGCTACAATAGTTGGTGTACATCCTAAGTCTAAGCTTACCAGGCGAATGTAGATGAGAAAATCATAAAGTAACTACCCTCTTTCATTCATGTCAGTGTTATTCAGGCTGTCTGGTGAATATTAGAATCATAACCCACCACAAGTTCAGAATTGAGTTTTTTAATTTATTAATTTTGCCCCTAGGTATCCCTTAAAATTTATACCAGGTCGTCGTTTCAGTACTCTGGAACAGTTAAAAGTTCAATTTTTTTTTGTAGAAGTGGGGGCAAACGAGCATGAGGTTCACCTGATGTTAAGTGACTACCGCCGCCCATGATCAACCGCAACACCAGGGGCATTGCAGGTGCGTTGCCGGCCCTTTAGAAAGGAGTAAGCTCTTTTCTTGAAGGTCCCCAGGTCGTATCGGTCCGGAAAAATTGCCGGTGGTAAACTACTCCACAGAGAGGTTGTACGCGAAAGAAAACTCCTTTTGAAACGTACAGTGGTGGACCGCCAAGCATCCAGATGGTGTGGATGGTATCAGGACGTTTTCCGCGTAGTGCGTTCACGAAATTTGGCGGCTGGGATTAATCCGAACAATTCCTCAGAGCACTCTCTATGGTATATGCGAAAGAAAATGCAAAGAGATGCAACATCTCTTCGCAGTGCCAGTGAATCGAGCCGATCGGAAAGCACTCGGTCGTCGACGATTCGAGCCGCTCTGCGCTGGATGCAGTCAAGTGGAAGGAGCTGGTACTGGGGAGCCCCAGACCAGAGATGGGAACAGTATTCCATGTGCGGCCGAACCTGCGCCTTGTAAAGTTGAAGGCGGTGTGCCGGCATGAAATACTGTCCCGCTCTGCTGAGCACGCCAAGCTTTTTTCTCGTAGAGGCCAATTTGGCCTTCTCTTCCAAGTGACCACGAAACTGCACGTCACTCAAAATGTCGACGCCGAGGATTCCGATACTGGCTGAGGCAACAAGGGCCTTTTGCCTTGAAACTGAGGAGATATGACAAAGGGGTTCTTTTTAGCGGTTAACGCGCAAACTTGTGTCTTCTGGGGGTTAAACTGGACTAGATTTAGTCGCCCCCAATCCGAGACCCTGTTCAGCAAAGACTCGACTTCAGACACAAGTTTGTCCCGGCACTCGGAGACGTTTTCCTGAGAAATATTGGCTCGGCCGGTGTAAAGAGCATCACCAGTGCTGTCATCTGTATAGCAATGAATGTTACGGGTTTGCAACATATCATTGATATGGAGAAGAAACAGCGTTGGCGATAGCACGCAGCCTTGTGGAACACCAGCATTAATAGGCTTGAAATCGGAGCTTGCACCGTCTACAACGACCTTGATGCTCCGATCTGCAAGAAAGCTGGTGATCCAATCGCACTATTTCTCGGAAAGCCCTTAGGAAGGGAGCTTCGAAAGAAGCGCTTTGTGCCAAACCCGATCGAAGGCCTTCGCAATGTCCAAACTAAAGGCCAATGCCTCCCCCATGGACTCTACTGCCTCCGCCCATCTGAGAGTTAGGTAGACCAGAAGATCACCAGCTGACCGACCACGGCGAAAACCACCAATAGGCGGTCACTAATCAGCTGGAAATCGTACCTCATGAGCTGGCAGTTTACAATGGACTCCATTGTATTGGAGAACAAGGAGGTGATGGCGATAGGCCGCTAGTTGGACGGGTCTGAGCGGTCGCCTTTTTTAGGGATCGGGTGGACGAAAGCCGTCTTCCATGGTTTTGGGACTACGCCTAGGGAGTAGGAGTACCGGAAAAGATGCGTTAAAACCGGCGCCAACTCTGGAACACACGTCCTCAGCACAATTGGGGGGATTCCGTCAGGCCCACTCGACTAGTGAATGTCCAGGGAGAGGAGTGCGTTGCGAACCGAGCGCTGTGTGAACTGCATTTCCGGCATGGAGTATTCACACCGCGGGATGGTCGGCAGCGTACACCCCCCGTCACCGAGAGTCGAGTTGGACGCAAAGAAAGAGCCTAGAAGATCGGCTTTCTCCTTTGCGGCATGGGCCAGTGAGTCGTCCTCCCTGTGCAGAGATGGAAGAGATGGCTGACAGAAATTTCCCTAGACAGCCTTGGCGAGAGACCAGAATGCACGGGTTCCAGAAGGAAGGCGAACTAGTTTCTCGCCAATTCTGCCTATGTGCTCTGACTTTGCTTTGGCATTGACCCTTTTGAAGGACCTAGAGGCGGAATTATACTTCTTTTTTATAGCGCTGGTGTTTACATCCCGGGACGCCGATGCATCAGCCCAGGCTTGTTAGCACTCCTGCTTAAAGCATGATGCTATTTTACAGGAGCGACCAAACCATGGCTGAGATTTGCCTCCAATGGGCACCACAGAGGAAGGAATAAAAAATTCCATGCCCTGAAGTACCACATCAGCGACAGAATCCGCAACAACGTTGGGATCGTCCGGCGAGAAGCAAACCCCCAAGGGTAGGATGCAAAGAAAGACCGCATCACATCTGAATCGGCTGACCTATATTGCCAAACACGGCGGCAGCCTGCAGAATGCAACTGCGATTTCAGCGTGAGTGGCACCACACTCCGGACAATACAATGGTCCGAGGAGCCTAAAGGGGCGTCGACGGAAATCTGATATCCGTCCGGGTGAGAGGTCAGCAGAAGGTCCAACAGAGAAGGTGCATGATCCTCCACATCTGGAATCCGCGTAGGCGAAGTAACCAGTTGTGTCAGACCATATGCCAAGGCAAAATCATGAACAGATCTCCCCGCATGATCGGTTAAACGTGAACCAAGCTATTCGGCGTGATGGGCGTTAAAGTCGCCGAGGATCACGATCTCTGCGGAGGGGATCTGCTGTAGCAACGAATCTGTAGCCATTTGGACGTGGTCGAAGAGTCGGTCTGTTTCGGCATTACCGCTATGGGACCTATAGAGGCACCCGTAGACGCGTGGATGGTCATCGCTGTCTACGCGTAGCCAAAGGATGGACAGGTCCGAACCTTCAAGTCTGCCGAGGCGTCGAGAACAGATGTCCTCTCTGACGTAAACGCAAACTCCAGCCCGAGGCACAAAGGAATGTTCCAGTTTGTACCCCGGGCAGGAGAAATACGAGACATCAGCCGGAGAGGATACCTGCGTCTCGGTAAGAAAGAGCAGAGCCGGCCTCGCCATCTCGAGATGGTGGTGGACGGCGTTTAGGTTTGAGTGAATTTGCAGTGATATTGCAGAAATTCACGAACAGCGTGGCAGGGGTCGCCTTGGTCTTGTTGCTCCGTTTTCCCCGAGCAGTAGTAGACTTGAGCGGAATTTTGCCCCCCCCCCCCAGAATACGCGTGGTAGCCTGAGAACCCACGCTTAGAAGTGGAGAAACATGGTCGTGGATGCTCAGCGAGGGATTCTCCAGGGGTGCTGGTACCCTCCAGGGATTTGGGCCTACGGCCACCTGCACTCACTAGACGAAACGCGGAAGCAGAGCTTCACTTCACGCCAGTATTCTGTGAAGTCGTGGTACCACCCCGGTTTGAGCCGGCCCATACGTGCAACAGCAAAGCTGCCGCGTGGCTCTACCACTGTAAAAAAAGGATAGGAAATAGGTGATGGAATAAAAAGAAAGGAAAAAAATAAGCGTCTGAGTGCTTTCTGTTATTTCTTTTTCCTATTAAACCAGACCAAATAACAGGTGGCAACCACGTGAAGGAAGAATTCCTCAGGCTTTTGACAGACCCCAGAGCCATTTTCCAAACTGTTCACCGGACAGGAGAGCAGAATAGGTATTAATCTAGTCCTACTAATAAAGTAAAAATGTAAAAATTAGGAGCAGATTAACCCCCGCCCTTTTTATGTCATAATAATTGTCGATTTTGGTAACGTTCCTAGAAGTCTTGTACATAATAAATAGTTTTAACAGTCAATGTTAAATATGCGCAGTCATTTTTTTCGTTTGAAATTAAAATTCTTATACGAAACGTAATGCAATTCAAAAGAACGTTGTGATAAATATGAAAGTAAACTTCATCAATAAAACATTATGTTTTAAATTAACTACAATAGCTGTTCCTATGCGTGACAGTGACTCATGCAGTAGAACTAAAAAAATCTGACCGATGTTGATACATCGACTTCCTAGTCGATGTATGCATATGTCTTGGAGCGTTATTTTTGGCATTCTTAGAGGAAGACCTATTCAGCGGTGGACTTGTAAAGAATTGTCATGATAATGATGATGAAATTACAAAAGCTACAGGGTTATAGCTATGAACGATGTTTTGGAGACTCCTGCCGGCGGAGAGGGGCGCACGTCATATGCTCTACAAAAATGCTTACTATGCAATTAAAAAATCGTTATCGTTAGGGTGTGTCCAAATATAGCGCGGCTTTCGAGCGCGGCTGCCCCGCGCGGCTAGCCGCGCTATAATTGGACGACGGCTGCGCGCGGCAGCCGCGAGCTACCTGCCACGCGCGGCGAAAGCCGAACGGTTAGTGATGACTGTTGGTTCCCCGGTGGTTGTGTGTAGACGGATGTTTTATTAAGTATACTGGATAGCGAAACAGCAATTCATCTTATTGAAATATATGGCTCCTATATTTATGGGATGCTAGACGTAAACAATCTATACATTTAATATATATGTTGTGCTGTGCGCTGCCAGTGTGTAAAAATAAGCTCCGTAGTAATTAATTAACAAAAAACAATATAGTTAAATTCTAGTTAAAAAAGTAATATTGGTGTGTGTGTGTGTTTTGACTGGAATAAAGCGTATAAATGTTATCATCGGTAAATACAAAGTGTTTTGTGAATTAACAAAAAAAGACGGTGAATTTGTGACATTAAATATGGACATAATTTATATTACAACAACCAAAGACGACTAAAAATACTATGATTTTATTCCAAAGTACAATATTCTTGTGCAAAAAGTGAAGATATTTCTTTATTATTCGCTTAACATGAAAAGTATTAATCTGACGGTTAATTTTATTCAAATATTGTGATTAAGTGCAAACAAATTTGTATATTTGATTCTACAACTAATGGTCGATTTTATATAGTTGGTGATTACAACGCCATCTATCAAACCACATTATCATTAAATTTCATCTACCCACGAGTATGCGGAAGAAGTGGAATATAAGGCTTAATTTCAATTATTATTAATGAGTATGCTTGGTCGAACGGTACAAGTGACTTGGTTAGTCACCGATACGACGGAGGATCGAGCCTCGAGGCAGACAGAAATATTTTTGTCTTTAATTTTCTAACATAAATACAAACATGGAGCAAAAACAACAAACTCCTTTAAAGAAATGTTGTTTCAAATGTAAATCAATAATAGAAAATCGACAATTCACAATTTGTTCAGTTTGTTATAATATCTACCATATCGACTGTGCAAACATAACTTTCGCTCGTTTTAGAATGTGGACAAATGAGACTAAAAAATCATGGAGATGTTTTAAACCCATAAAAAGTAAAACAATACAGTCCTCTCTCCATCCCTAGAAAAAGATCTGTGAATATCACAATACGTAAAAAAAGGACTGATGAAACCCTTGAAAGTAACGATATGAATGCTTTTGACTCAGAATCTCCAAACAGCTCACCAAAAACTGGCCAGATACTACTACCTAAAGAAAAATTATTAGCAAAATCACTATCAGTGGAATTGCCTGCTGAATCATTAAACAATAGTTTCCAATCCTTAGAAGATTTATCACACAGTTTAGAATTAGTAAATGAACTTGATATTGTGAGCAAACAAAATATGAAAATAGATGACTTACAAATTAAATTAAAGAGTTGCGAGTCTGAATTTTTGAAAAACAATTTTGGAAAATAATGAATTAAAACGACAAGTCACCAAATTGACACAAGAGCTACTTATTATGAAAAATATATGTAAAACCCCACAAATTGTAAAAAAACAGCGCAAGAGTTTGTCCTCAAGTTTTCTTAATAATATGACTCCAGATAAGAAAAAGACGGAGCAAATTTTTGTTTTAAAAAATACAGTCGCAAAATTACAACAAAACCTGAAATTAGCTCAAGAAGAAGTAAGAAATCTATTCACAAAAATCGAAAGCTTAGAAAAGAAATTGAAAGACAAAACAACACCAAAAACTGATTTAGAAATTAATAATTGCACAAAAAATCATGTACATAAAGATACTAGATCATTACATAAACCATTAAAATACAAATTGTGTATACTCACAAGTGACAAGAGATATAAAATACTACAAAATGTAAACAGAAATCATGTTCTAAGTCAATATGAGTTATGTCAATTTATTACTACAAATGCTGGGATAGAGATAATTTTAAAAAATATACATAAAAAATTAAAGAACTATACAAAACACGACTACTGTGTTGTGATAATCGGAGAATCGGATTTTAATACCTCAGAAGACTATAAAGGTCTGGTGAAAACAATCAAAACCAGGCTGGAACAAGTAAAAAATTCAAACGTAATCGTAGTTTCACCAACATACTGTTGCGCGGCTAAGTTGACATCTGGCACTAGCGTGATCTAGTGTCGGGTAACAGAGCGAGTAGAGAGCTTTCCAGAAAATGACATCACTAATCTTTCAACCGCCAGCGCCATCTAGTATCGAATTGAAGAACTAAGCTCTCTGGAAGCACCACACTCGAACTTTCTGTGCTTGGTCGGTTGGCGCACGTATTTACTCGAATATTCTGGAATATTCTGGATGTTTTCGTGGAAGAGCCCTATATAAGGGCGCTGCAAGATGCGATCGGGGAAGTATTGAATTTGGCGAGACAAGCGAAGCTTCGGAGCGGAATAAAGTGAATTAGTGTGCTTAATTATAAGTTCTTAAATGTAAGAAGTTAAGTATAAGTAAGTGAGTTAAGTTTAAGTTTTAATTTGTGTAAAGAAATTTAAAGTGTTAATTTAGGTAATTCTATCGACAATTTTAAGCTATTGCATAGCTTCTCTCGCGGGCCTTGAGCGCGGGGACCGAATCCAGAAATTCCGCAACGAAAAAAAAATCTCACGCTCCCCACTCCGACAGGCACGGAGGTGTGGCGTTGAAAGCCGTGCATCGTCTAACGTCGTTTCAGTTCGGCAGACTTCGGCACTCGGCAGAGTTCGGCACGGTGTTTGTGTGCGTGCGACTAGACGTATGCGTGTACACTAGCTGCTAACTCAATGATAAAAATTCCTGAATAACCTACAGGTATTGTAAGATATTAAAAATATTTTAAACAATATTAACTTCTCATTTATTCAATAAGAGAGAAAAAAATTGTTTTCTTATCGGTCACCACGCTCAAAAAGTGTAACTTGATTTAATATCAAAGACTTAACTGCATAAATAAAATAAATAAATAATTATAATTGCATTAGTTGATAAAAAATGCCATGCAATAGCTTTACCGCGGCAGTCACCGAGTGCCACACGTATTTTTTTTATTGACACGAACCTCAAGCTCGTAATAAATAATACATATGTGGAAAGCCATTATATAACTACAGAGTAAAGACTTTCAATTACCTACTTAATCAAGACATAAACACTAATAAATATGGCTATTACATTGATTCAAAGCTGGACTTAACATATGAAATGTTTTCACAGTATACTGGTAAAATAAAACAAAATGGAGTACAAAATTTAATGCAAAATATTGCCAAACAAATATTATCTGTACAAAAATGAGTGATGAGAAGCAAATCGACACAAGAAAAGAGAGCTCTATTATCCCTGACGAAAATCAGTTTTTTCTTCTATAATCACTTACATATATTATGTACATCAAAACATATCGGGACTATTGAACAAATGTGATGAGTTATTATTAAATCTGGATGAGTTAGACAGACAAAAAGAAAAAGGTATCGACATTGTATGTGTGACCGAGCACAATATGATACCAGAATTGGAAGAATTCCTTACAATACCTAATTCACATTAGCAACCAGTTTTTTAAGAAATAAAAGACGTGGTGGATCATGTATTTTAGTAAGAAATGGATTAAAGTATAGAGTAGTTGATAATATTAATAAATTCTCGATTAATTGTATGATAGAGACCTGTGCTGTAGAAATATGTGACCATAACATGATTGTGATATGTATTTATAGAGTTCCTAACACAAATAAATCTTGTCTGGATGCGTTCTATGATACTCTTAGAGGCATTCTAAATACTATAATAAATACTAAAAATAAAAATATAATTATCTGTGGCGATTTTAACATTGATATTCTGAAAAATACTTCTGTTATTCGAGAATTTACAAATCTACTATTAGGCTATATAGCTAGCTGTATTGCTAGCTTCAGATTATTATATAGCTAGCTGTATTGCTAGCTACAGATATAAGAGTTGCGAGTGGAACGTGTATTGACAATTTTGCACATAACATAAGAGGATCAAACAGTGAGGTCATTGAACTAGGCCTTTGGGATCATATGGCGCAAATTTTAAAATGTCCTGTAAAAAAACATGTATAATCAATTCGTGGAGTATTAAAAGGAGAAATTTTAGCTATGAAAACCTTCAAACATTCAAAAGATGTATTGATAGTCTAAGTTTCCAGGATATATTTAATTCTTCGGATCCTAATACAACTTATGATGGTTTTTTTGACATATTCAAATGCTTTTATGATCTATTTTTCCCCTATAAAATTATAAAAAATACTCTAAAAATAAAATGAAAGCAACTTGATCCGTTATATATAAATCCAAAACAAATAATCCCAAAGAACCAATACAGAAGCTAAGAGTAGGTAATGAATATCTTACTTACCCTATTGACATCACTAATGCGTTTAATGATTTTTTTATTGATGACATGGAAACTGAAAATTATACTATTAATACTGACATTTCTTCAAATAATAATAACAATAACAATTCCAACAATAATTGAAATAATAATGTAAATTTAAGTCATAAGTTTAAGTTATATCTCATTTCAATAATAATTATAAATCTTTATTTTTAAGCCCGACAACACTTGACTCAGTGTGTAAAATTATAATTAGTCTAAAAAATACTAATAGTGTTGGTTTTGACGACGTTTGTACAAAAGTAATAAAACATGTTAGCTCTACAATAGGTATATTTCCAAACAATTTGAAACTAGCTGTAGTAAAGCCATTATTTAAAAAAGGTGATAAACATATTGCCAATAATTATCATCCAATTGCACTGCTATCAATTTTCTCAAAAATATTTGAAAAAATTATTCAAGGCCAGCTTTACGAATTTTTGGAAAAAAATAACATTTTAAACAAAGAGCAAAAAGGATTTCTCACAAATACTACAATCGCAACAGCAATATACGACTTAGTAAAAAGGGCAGTGATTTGTCTAGATAAAAGGATCCCACCGTGTGCAATTTATATGGAAATGACGAAAGCATTTGACCTTGCAGATCATAATATATTGCTGGAAAAACTAAGCCCTTATGGTGTAAGAGGTAATGCAGTCAATTTAATTAAATCCTATTTAACAGATAGGACACAAAAAACCGTAATAAATCAGATCTGTATCTCTACAAGACAAGAAAAAATATATACGTCTAATAATAGAACGATAAAGCGTGGCGTTCCACAGGGAAGTGTTTTGAGTCCTTTGCTCTTTATAATATACATCAATGATATCGTCGAGTCTTGTAAATACCCAATGATACTATTTGCAGACGATAGCACTATTTTAGCAGTATTTTTAGCAGTGTAGCATAATATCAAAATAATATTAACTTTGCTATTGAAAACATTATTAAAAGGTTAAAATCAAATAATTTTAAAGTTAATCTAGAAAAAACAAAAATTATGCAATTTACACAAAGAAAAAGTACTCCAAATCTAATAATAAGTTATGGAAAAAAAACAATTTCTGAAACAAAAGTAGCGAAATTCCTAGGGTTGTTTATAGATAACAACATGTCATGGGAATCGCATTCAATAGAAGTCTCCAAAAGAATGTATAAATTTTCATTTGCACTATTATATTTATACTATATTATGTCGAAAATAGCTGACCAAAAACTGTTCTAACAGCGTACCACGGCTTTGTGACTTCGACCCTGCGATATTTTACTATCAACATACAGGGAATTAAGTATGAAAGCTCAAAAACAGTGTATTCGAGCTATATGTGGGATAAAGCCTACTGAAAGTTGCATACCATACTTTAGATCTCTTAAGATATTAACATTACCCTGTATTTATATACTAGAATCGTGTATTTTTGTAAAGTGTAATCCGGAACTTTTTGATATAGGAGTAAAACCATCTTTAGTTAACCTTCGTCCTCGAAAACAAAAAACCCTAACAAATGTATGCAAAACTGCTTTTTATGAAAAAAAAAGTATTGTTCAAATGGCACCTAAATTATATAATAAATTACCTGATCACATTAAATTTTATAATGTGCAAAAATTTAAACCTATTTTAAGTAAATTTCTTATAGATCAATGTTATTATAATGTCAATGAATTTCTATTTACTAATAATTTAAATATGTAATTTAATAATTTTATTTTGACTCTAATTAATTTAATACTTTGATTTGTTTTTTATATATATTTAATTTTATGATGTATATAAAATGATTGATTGATAAAAAAAATCTGTAGAAAAATCGTATGTAATTCTAATATTTTCTGAAAAGAAACAAGTCCAGGGGGCTAAATAAAGCCACTGAATAATGCCACTGAAGACAAATTAGTGGTTTTTAGAATGTTGGTCTGTCTGTCTCTCTGTTTATTCAAGATTCAAGCGAAAACTACTTAACAGATTTCCATGAAATGTTGTGTAGGTAGATAGTGACCTGGGGCAACTTATAGGATACTTTTTATC